CCAAAACTGACCTTTACCCGTTTTAAAAAAAAAAAAATGGTTATTTTTTTAAAAAAAAAAAAAAAAAAAAAAAAAAGAAGGCGGGGACATGACAGACAGCGGTTTACGTGTTTTGTCATCCAATAGAAAACTCTACGGGCAATTTAACTGATGTTTAAAGAAGGAGGAAATGCTCAAAAATATTTTCCATAACTATTTGAAATAAATCTTATGTGGAAAGAAACCGACGTATATTCTCCAAGTTTGAGCACAACGTGCTGTTTACGTTTACAAATTAGCTTGAGCTTATATGAGAGCGTCATCCTTTCGTCTTAAACAAGGGTGCCCTCTGCTGGACGGTAGGAAGTTTCTCCAAAGATTTTTATTTTTTTTACTACAAAATATACAAAAAATTATTTATATTTTTGGGTCGATATGTGTGTGTGTGTGTGTGTGTGTGTGTGTGTGTGTGTGTGTGTGTGTGTGTGTGTGTGTGTGTGTGTGTAAAAACATAATATAAGAAGGTTTCTTTTAGGTTTTTTTAAATTAAAACATTAAATCGAAAATGGCACCAATATTTTTTTTAATGGAATGTGAGTTGTGTGCTGAGAACTAATCCAAATAAGTCATAATTAACAAATATCACCTATTTATAGCACAATTTTAAACAATCAAATTTAGAATACTTTAAATACCTTATCATCTGCTGATATACTATCACTACTTTTAAAAGATTGACCAGTTTTACATATTCCCTATATTTCTTTTTATAGCAATTGAACATGTAAGTACTTTATCACAGTACAGATACCTATATGCTTACCTTACCATATTAGTTAAGGCCATCTTATCAGAACTTTGTTTGCAGAATGTGTTGGTTGTTACCAAGCCTAGTTTTACCACTATCCAGAAGCCACAAAAAAATACCCACAGCTCCAAATGTATACATTTAGGATTGAATATCTACGTTTGTACTTATCTACATTGGGTTAGGTGAGTTTGACACATGAGATAAGATCACTGACATGTTTACACACTTACTGCTACAATAACTTATTGTTTTATTATTATTATTATTATTATTATTATTATTCTCTAGAATAAATTAATTGATAAAACAGTTAAGATGTAAGTATAAATGTGATAAACTACATTAAGTTTCTTGAAATATTAAAATCTAAACTGATTATCTAACTCTGTGTGAAAACACGTCATGCCCGACCCGTCACTCTGATTGCTTTCGTCCCACAGGTGGCAGTGTTGCTCCGAGAGCTGCTTGGCAACCTTCCCTAAGCTGCAAAGAAGAAGGGTTGTTGAGGTTGGTTGGATAACATAGCATCATGCTAGCTACAGAGTGAGAGTTGGGTAAAAACAACTGCTCCTAAAGTCTGTCTTTCCTGGAAGACTTCAGCAAAGACTAATTTTCTGTTAAGTTAATACCCATGTTCATCGATAGTAGACACCATGTCAGCTCTTTTATTGCTGAACAGTGCTGGAATCTGCAGAAAATACAGCAGATGTGTGATATGGACGCTATCAAGGCGAAACTATCAAGTTTTAACAAACAAAGTGATATCCAGTGAAGGCGCTGGTAATGTACTGTCCAGGTGTGCTAATGTCAGGAAGACACTGCATTTTCCAAGATCAGAGCGGACTCTCACAGGTCAGCCTCAGAAGAAACTCATCCAAGTAAGTCAGAGCGTGAATGACATGAGCGCCTTTAAAAATAAAACTCTACAACTTAGCTTCTGTTTGTGTTTGGTCGTGGAAATTATTAATGGTGTAAAGATTGGCCAGTTTGACGTTTCTAAGGAGACTGTAATCTGCATTGTATCTCTAAAACATCTCTTATTGGGCTCTCAGAGTGTTCTGCCTGTTTTTATTTACACCCCTGTATTCAGATTCATGCAGCGTTTACAGACCTAAAATTTTGTTTAGAATTATAACAATTTAATTAGACCTGTCGCACTGTTAATATTATTCCCATTACCGCCCCATTAACCAGTTCAACTCTATTGTTTTCAGCTATGTGTTGTATTGATTTAGAAGTGGTCTGTCAATTTGATTCATTTTTACGTTTACAATTCAACAGTCCGACAATAATAAATATTAATAAACATATAAATCCAGTAATTTTCACAGAATTAGCTAATAGGAGAATTTCTCTCCGTAGTTCTGGGCAGGTTCATGAAATATATATAAAAAAAAAATAGAGAGAAAACATAAAGGAAAGATTAAACAAGCAATATAATGCACCAACAAATATATATCTACATAACAAACTTGATTCTTATTTTAAAAGTTTGTTCTTCTCCCTAAATTCTAAATTTAGAATCTTTCTTTTGTATATATTTTTTGTTTCACAGGTGGCAACACACATTAGTCATTGAAAGTTCTTCAGTTCATTATGTAAATGTGCCAAATTTATCAAAACAGTGTAATGTTATCGCCAGGTGAATGGTTTCACCCTGTCCTAAGAGATGATGTCATTTAGACCCCACTGGTGTTTTACTCTGTGCTCAGTCCGGTGGCGTTGTACTTATCCCGTGAATGCTTTTCCGAGTTTTGTGTGTGTGTGTGTGTGTGTGTGTGTGTGTGTGTGTGTATATGTGTGTGATTGTGCGCGCCCACATGCATTGTTTCGGGAACACAGAGTCTTGTGATTTTTTTTTTCTGTAATTTTCCTTCTCAGATATAATTGTAACAGATTATCAGCCTGTCATGTTGAAACTTTTATTTCCTCTGGTTGTCTATTTTAGAGTCTTCTCCACAAACCTTTGAGTCCTGACATGGTTGGACTCAGCAGAGAGTTAATCAGAAGCAACCTATTAAAGAATCCAGCTGGTTTATTAAATTTATTAGGTACACATCAAGTTTATTTACTTTTTTAAATCTATATTTTATCCTGTGCCTGTCTTTAAATGCTGACACTTTGTGTTAAAAATGTCTTTACTTTTAGGGTCAACTAACTTTTTCAGTACGTCTCAAGCCAAAAAACAAAAAAATAAAAGTTCTGGGCCAAAGGGAAAAACTCCTCAGGAAGATGAAGGTATGTGATGAACAGATTTAGCTGCAACACATTTTTCTTTTCTAACTTGTTCTTCACGTGCCTTTTACGCTCTGCTTTATATTTCAGAGGAGAAGAAACGGCGTGAGCAGGAGGATCAGATGTACCGCGAGCGCCTGCGGATGCTCTTCATTATCGCACTCGTCATGAGCCTGCTTAACTCTATTAATACCAGCGGCGGCAACATCTCCTGGAATGACTTTGTCAACGAGATGTTGGCCAAGGGTGAGGTGTCCCGAGTGCAGGTCGTTCCTGAGAGTGACATTGTAGAAATCTACCTTCATCCTGGGGCTGTCATCTTCGGGAGACCTGTAGGTTGTTTTAGGCTTTAGTCACGCTTGGCATTTGAATCTGAGCAGCAGCTGAGACGTTCAGGCTATCATCTCATTTCTTTCCATACTTCTTGCTTTGCAGAGGCTGGCACTCATGTACAGAATGCAGGTTGCAAACATTGATAAGTTTGAGGAGAAGCTGCGAGCAGCAGAGGAGGAACTAAACATCGACACCAAGGACAGGATACCAGTGACGTACAAACGGACTGGATTCTTTGGAAAGTAAGAATATGTATTTTTATGAGAACAGGCACAATATGTGCTCACACCTTAATAATTTGCAAAGATATTAAGACCAATTTTGACATTCTTTGTCATTTTTACAGTGCAGTCTATGCTCTGGGAATGGCTGCTATCGGGGTGGCTATTCTCTGGTATATCTTCCGACTTGCAGGCATGGGCAGCAGAGAAGGCGGCTTCAGTGCTTTTGTGAGTTACGTAAAGAACAGTAGCTGCTTATTCTTGTGATTTGAGAGCCTGATGTGCTAACTCTGCTTTACAAAAAAAAAAAAAAATCAACAGAATCAGCTGAAGATGGCCAAGTTCACCATTGTTGATGGTAAATCTGGGAAAGGAGTGAGGTTCAAAGATGTAGCCGGCATGCATGAGGCTAAGATGGAGGTAAAGGAGTTTGTTGACTACCTCAAGGTAAGAAGCCACACTTGGATCACACTTTTGTATTGATTTCAACTCTAAAAATCACATTTTGAGTGTTTAAATAGAGGTGAAGAAGTCTAATTTTATATTCAAATCTGTTGTTGTCAGAGTCCAGAAAGGTACCTGCAGCTGGGAGCCAAGGTTCCTAAGGGATCGTTGCTGCTCGGGCCCCCAGGATGCGGCAAGACCCTGCTGGCCAAAGCTGTAGCAACAGAGGCTCAGGTGCCATTTCTGGCTATGGCTGGCTCTGAGTTTGTGGAGGTCATTGGAGGTAAGAACCAAGCATTGAAGAAATAACCAGAAGATCAACAAAAAAAAGAAACTGTTTTTCTCTACCAGTTGCTGCGATTTAAAGAAAAACTTTAGTTTTAGAAATATTGATTACAACTTTGGACATTTTTGCATGGGTTGTATGCTTGTATAAGAAAATCTATTGATTTGTCTTTAAGTCTATTGTATGTTCTGGTACTTTGTTGTATCCACATGACATACTTTTCAAATGTTTTAAAGAGGAAATTATTGCTTTTAAAAACTGTATCCTTTAAAGAGATTTGTTAAAGATGGCTCGTAAACCACTTTTCAAGAGAATGCCCTTAACGAAATAATTGCAACAAGAGCTTGATAGTCGATTGTGACTTGTGTTGTGGTTATGCGTAGGTCTCGGTGCTGCCAGGGTCAGGAGCCTGTTTAAAGAGGCCCGTGCTCGGGCGCCTTGCATCGTCTACATAGACGAGATTGACGCTGTGGGGAAGAAGCGCTCCACCAATATGTCAGGGTTCTCCAACACGGAGGAGGAGCAGACTCTCAACCAGCTCCTGGTGGAGATGGATGGTGGGTGAAGTAAGGTTTCATGTTTCACTTTGTCGGCTTGTGGAATGACTTAATGACGTGTTTGAAATTATTTTCTTGGCAGGAATGGGAACAACAGACCACGTCATCGTTCTGGCCTCCACCAACAGAGCAGACATTTTGGATAATGCTCTTATGAGGCCAGGCCGGCTGGACAGGCACATCTTCATAGACCTACCTACACTGCAGGTGGCTTAAAGCAACACTGGTGATCTGGTGAATGTAATCGGTTCGCAATTTACCAAAGTCTTCCCAAGAACAAATGAAGGCCTTCAGCCTCACATTTTTAAAGTTGCTACTTTCCAGCGGCTTCTAGTTTTTCTTCTAGTTTTTCTCATAAACATAACTTTAGGAAGGGCTTGTTCCTACTAGCAGGTCATTAAGCTTTGGTAGCTGGTTTAGCTGGTGAAATCTGGCCTTATGTTGATTTTTCTCTTTCAGGAAAGGAAGGAGATCTTTGAACAACATCTAAAGATCTTGAAGCTGACCCAACCAGCTAATTTCTACTCTCTGCGGCTGGCTGAGCTCACCCCAGGCTTCAGTGGTGCATTCATATTATACCTCGTTTGTCCTTTTTCTGCTTCCATAGTAAAAACCAACTGGAGGGTTTTGCTGTTTTACCTTTAAAATACTTTCTATTGAAAGTGTACACACACATGTAGCAGTGTTTTTTTTTAGTTTATCCATGACAAAGTTTGTAGTTGTGTTATTTCTAGCACAGCACTTGTTATTTATGTTTCGGGCCAGTAGAAAATTCATGCTCATGTTTGTATTGGAAGTAGTAAAAAAAAGTTAGGAAAGATTTAAGCATTCATGTCCTCGCTGTGATTACAAGCCCGTACTTTTACTGATGCAGGTGCAGACATTGCAAACATCTGCAACGAAGCTGCACTGCACGCTGCCAGAGAGGGGTTCAAGTCCATCGACACTTTTAACTTTGAGTATGCTGTGGAAAGAGTGATAGCAGGTACAGCAACACAAACGTTTTGAGAAAATGCCTTTCACCCCTCATGATGTGCTAGGCTGACCACAGTAAGACTAAAATGCGCGTTTGTCCAGGGAGCGTAAAGAAAAGCAAGATTCTGTCTAAAGAAGAGCAGAGGGTGGTTGCCTTCCACGAGTCTGGACACGCCTTAGTAGGATGGCTGCTGGAGCACACCGAGGCAGTGATGAAGGTAGTGCGCTGCTTCTTGTTGCTATCGTAATTAGTGGATTTACATCTAAATGGATTGAGACGTAATCTTTCCTTTTCAGAAATTTATTTTTTTCTTTGGTTGTAAAACACTTATTTCAGGCATTTTTTCAAGGGAAGGAACAGAAACGACTGAAACATTTTATAATTTTAAGTCATTCTCTGAAACTAACAAAACCCAAAGTGGACACGCAAAGTGTCTGCCACCTTTGCAAGGCCGAAAAACAACTCCATCTCCAGCAGTTGTTACCATAATAAATGATGCTTCAGATAGGCCTCAAAAATTTGTCGAGGTGCTTGATTGGCAATCATTAGTTTCTGACACCCTTACTCAAGGCAGAGGAAACACAAATAGTGGGTTTTCATATATGATATAATTCGCTGTTTTTCATTGAGAGCCGTAATAACTCCCTGAGAGTTGGGGGTTAATGCAGATGAACAAATTGTGACTGTGTGTTTCTGTGCTGTGTTCCTGAGATCTCCATTGCTCCGCGAACGAATGCCGCCCTGGGTTTCACTCAGATCTTACCCCGCGACCAGTACCTGTTCACCAAGGACCAGCTGTTCCAGCGCATGTGCATGGCTCTGGGAGGAAGAGCGGCCGAGGCCATCACTTTTAACAAGGTCACCACAGGTGAGGATGTTATTCTTTAACGTTATTCTTTTGTTATTCTTTAATGGAACCTTAAAATCACAGTCCCTTCTCATGCGCTTCTCCTGGGTGAATCCTCCACCTTGTGTCTCTCCAGGAGCTCAGGATGACTTGAGGAAGGTGACACGTGTGGCTTACTCTATGGTGAAGCAGTACGGTATGTGTGACAGTGTGGGGCAGGTGTCGTTCCCCGAGACGCAGGAGCAAGGTGCCGTCGGGCGCCGCCCTTTCAGCCAGGGCCTGCAGCAACAGATGGATCATGTGGGTTCTTGATTTAATTCCCCGTAAACATGGAATATTTGTCATCATTAAGTTCTTGCTGCTGACGATTGTTTACGTCTGCCCTTACAGGAGGCTAAGATGCTGATAGCTCGTGCTTACAGACATACAGAGAAACTGTTGCTGGACAACAGGGACAAACTGACCCTGGTTCGTTGCTCCATTTCTTCTCACATTGCCATTGCAAGAATCCCCATCGATTTTCTAATCCACCACGTCTGTGTTTATAGTTGGCCAACGCTCTGTTGGTGCGTGAGGTGGTGAACTATGACGACATCGAAGCCTTGCTGGGCCCGCCGCCGTTTGGGCCGAAGAAGATCATCCTCCCTCAGAGCTGGGTGGAGGCAGAGAGGGACCAGCAAGACACAGAAGAGGATGAACCTCAACCTCCTCCTCGCAAACGTAGAGAGGACGACGTTGATCCGCAGTTAGTCTGACATGTTTCTGATTTGTGTCTTTATAAGTTGCTGCATTTTGTCCCTTCATCAGGAGCTGGTGGAGTGTTAATACCAGCAGGGACTCCTCATAAGGCTTGTTCTGACAGTAAAAGTAAAGTTTGAACAACTCTGTTGCTGAATCACCTTCCAGATTTGATTTCTCTGCAACTTTAAGAATGTTGTAGAACTATTGTTGGTCTCACAATGTTTGCTACAAAGTTTGAAAGCAAGCTTTCTCAATCAGGATGCTCTTCATAAGCAGATTGTGTAGATTAGCAGTTCTCAACGTGGGCGCTACCGCCCCCCGGTATGAAACGGGTGTGATAGAACAACGGAACCACAGCACTTTTAAATTTCAATAATCAGAATACCGAAATTGTTTCTGTTGTTTTAAAAGGTTTGCGTCAGTCTGCTTTTTCCCCATCGATACGCTCTGCACCTTAGGGGGTTAAAAAACAAAAAACGATGCGCACATGGCACAAAACTCTGAAACAGGAGAAGCGGGACATAAAACGGAGCGACGAACTAGATGTGAATTATGACATAAAAACAGAGAATCCGACGCTGAACAGTGAAAAATCAAAACATGATGTGAAACATGACGATTAGGCGGCGCAGCAGGTGATGAGTGAAGATTACGGATGGCGTGCGTCAATAAATGATAAAATAAATCTAGCAACAGGAAATAAACTAAAGTGGACATAGCAATAAACCAAGAGAGGATAATAATCAAAGGAAACTAAATGGAAATGAATGAAGAACAAAATGCAAGAATAAACTAAGAAACTAAAGTAAATACAGAGGAATAAA